AATTTGGTGTTCATAAAAGATAAATCCGTCTGCCCTTGTGTTTTACCAAAAGATTTATACCTGATATTGGTGGCCCCCCCCCCCCCCAATATGCGTCCTCAACCTATGTCAGTTTAAAGAGAACACCTGATTACACATATCTTTAAGTTCGCTCGATGAACTGATAACTATTCACAAAGTTATTAATTAATTAAGTTTATTAAAATTTGAAGTCCTAGTCATCATTTTAAAAACTCATAGCTCAGTCAAAAATAATCCTAGAAAAGTCATTCATGCATTGCTTTGTAGCCAATGGTCTATTGTTATGGTTTGATGAAAAAAGTTTAAAAAAAATATTCGAGAACCACAACAGATAGAAAGGTCGGTCTTGCGCAGAATTGTAGAGAACACTTTGAGCTATCTAGTCACCGTGTTACAATCCTTCAAGTTTAAATTTAATCATCCTTTTAAAACTAACATAGTTTGATAAAGCGTAAGGAGCCACTCCTTAATTGAAGTGTGAAACTCTTGCCAAAGATCGTGCAATAACGAAGCAAAACTCTTGCTACAAAACTTTTGCGCAATGGCCGATTGCGCGGGCTAACGTTGTCTGTTTCTCAGAGTCAATGGGAAAATTTTGAAAAAAATTCAATTAAAATGTTTTTGGGTTTTAAATTTTAGAAGAATTTAAATTTAAAACATTTTGAAAAAAAAACATCAGACAAGGTGACTCCCGCAGTCAGTCATTACGCACATTTTTTGTTGCAAAAGTTTTTTTCACCCTGCACCATTTTTGCAGCATTTTTGGCAAGAGTTTTTCAAAATACTATTTCATTTTGCAGCAAAATACATAGGAAAAAAAATTTTGTAACTCAGTTTTGGTCACTTTTCTTACATTTGTGACCCCATAAAGGTCGTTTTTCGAAAAATATTCAAAACGGTATCGAATATAATCTTGGTAGGGAGTATAGATATGAAGAACTTTTAAGTTTTACACTACTGCACAATATTAGAAATAAGGGTAGCGCTATTGCCACTCTCTGAGAGTGTTAAAAGGAGTTGTCGTATTTTAACTTATGAGTGTAAGTTCCGGTACGCTTTATGAATTTCTTTGTAAGGTACGTAAAGTTCGAGAGCAGACCGATGACGGCGACGGGGATGGCCCAAAAAACAATGAGAATCACTGTTGCAGCAAAAATAGCGAGTTGTCATACTTTCTTCTCAAAGTAGGTCAGCTTCAAATTCGACTAAACGATATTTGCCGGTTTCACGTCGATGTAACGAGGTGTCATTGCTAAAGACACAGAGGCAGCAACATTTTGAACTGCCATGTGAGCAGCTATTTGTTGATTGAATTGAATGAATGCCGAATTTAGAACGGCATAATTTTGTGGAGTCAACTTCGCCCTTTCAATGTCAGTGTTGAGTTGAGAGATGGCCTCTTTGTAGTAGGTAATCGTGTCGACCTTTTTAGCCGAAACGCAAAGAAGAAAGCACTGGACTAGACCCAATCTTCATCGTTGGTCGTTTCCTTTCCGAAATATACTTATCGAAGATGCCTTCGTCATTCTCTATTGAATGCACGTTTGTATTAGCATTTTCCTGGCGTTTGGCCTCTTTTTTCAGTGCAGCTTTGATCAATTTACGTTGTCTCCAGTTTTTCTACGAATTATGTGCGTTTGTCCGCTTTGTCAGGCAGATCTTCAAGATTTCGATTGAGCCAGATGTATCGCACTTCCCTCGGAAATTGATCGAAGATTCGTAAGAGAACAGCCTGTGACATATAAGATTTAGGTATTCCTGTCACCAGGATAGTTGGCGCACTAGCGCGAGATTGATAGGCAGAACTTCTCAGCAGTGCTTGACGTTTTTCAACGAAAGTTTTCATCTCGGCGTATAGAAGGTAAAGAAATGTTCCGATGAAAATATAAGCAAGCACTAACGGAGTGGCATAACGTGAAGAATGACGCGGTGAAATATTACCAAACGTTAGTAGATCGAGACCTTTCTTGCCGTAAGATTCACCCTTTCCATCAACAGTGTAGATAGCAAATAAAATGATGGCTAATAGTACGAAAGAACTCAGAAAGAAAAGGCCATGCACGTAAATGTAATATACCACCCCACAGAATAAAAGGTCATGCCCTTATACAGTGCTACTTTTTGGATGGCCTTCTGTTGAGGGTCAATTTTTGACCAACTATTAATAACAATATTTTTAAAATTTCAGTAATTAATTAATTTTTTGATGCCACTTTTCAATGAATAAGTGCGCTCTTTTTGAAAAATACACTATTTATAAGAACATAGAGAGAAATTTCGCGAAAAGCCCTGGAAAACCAGGTATATTTTAATTAGTATTTATTAAAAATATTGAGTTTTAAAAAATAGGCGTCAAAACCAGAAGTCCTATATGCCCTCTATCACCACAGACAGCATAAATTAGAATAAATATTCCTGGGCCGTATAACTGATTTTTCACGTATTTGATTTTTTTTACGTACTGATTTTTGACGTTATTGATGAATGTCGCCCTCATTCTATTGAAAAACTTTTCTTATCTCACGGTGATATTCTCGGATTGTTCTCAAACGTCACGATTATGATGAGAAATGAAACATGCTTTAATTTTGATGACATGACGAATTTAACGGATGAACATCATTACAAGTTGATCGGCTTAAGTAAGCAGCACTTTGACCTTTATCTTTATGTCCACCTTTAAAACGCTTTTCAAACACTAGAACTCCTTTACTTTTTCGATCAATTACCATGTTATGAAGTATTTCCGAATGGTACATTTACCGTAGTGACCGGATGAGAAATATCGATTATAGGATAGTCACCGTTGAACAAGTGATCCACATGTCACGGCTTTCGAGAGATATTTCTAATGTCAAAGCGCAATTTTTCTGTGTTACATATATCAGAATTGTAGCTCTAGAAATTCGCAAACTAGTCGTAAGAAATTGTGAAACGAGAGAGGAAGATCCCTAATACGATCTATAATATATATCAGATGGAATAGAAGCTTAATCAAATTTGATTCGACCAATTTTTTTCTGAGAGTGGTTGTAAGGTCTAGTAAGCACATAAAAATATTTCTCCCTTCATTCTACATCTAGCCTTTGATTAGTCAATGAAATTCAGGCATGGGCCGATTTTATCAGATATTCGCGTCCTCTCTTTACATTTCAAGACGATCCTGAACAGTCATTTAAGCATTTATTGATTAAAGTGGTGACCGATGCATACAGCGTAGTTTCTACAACAAAGCTCACTTTGTTTATTTTTGATTTTGCTAATTGTCTTCTAAACATTTCATTCGAATCTTTTATGTCAACAGATGTTTAAAAGCTAAAATTTTCTCACTTGACTGAAAGATTCTTTCTCGGAATCGCTAAGAATAGTTGTTTCTCATATGACACACGGATTAATGCTTCTTTTGTCGATTCCAGATCATAACTGAGAAGAAAGAAGAACTGAATAATCGCCAAAATATTCTTTTGTCATTTAAATCTGTGAAAGAAAATGTTTCTGCTAAGACATTGTCAGACATGGGAAAACAAGTAAAAGATGTAATTAAAGATGCTATCGAAACTATTCAAGAAAAGTTGTAGATATGGGCGAAGGTCCACAAGGATCGATACAAAATAAACTAAACTCAGAACAAAACATCTGTCATTTACAAGAGAAAAATGCACTTCGTATACTTTAAAGTGACATTTTAAAATTTTATTTCATTAAGAGCATGCATATAATGCGAACGAAGAACATCGAGTTGTTTGCTTTGTTTTTTTCCTTTGTTGCTATTCACTGTGCGATTTAGAATAAACATTCAAGGTAAATACGTTCGTTTTCTTTCGGTTAAAAGTGTCTTTTGTATGAGGTAATTAATTACTTTTTTCAGAAAGCTTTTAGCCTAGGTGGCCACTTATTAGATGAAATCGCGGTAAGGTCATGCAATGCTTTGCAGTATTTTGGCAGGTCATCGACAATAGATTAATAATTCCCGAACGCGTTAGTGATAATAGTGAGCAGACCTACTCAAACCTTCATTATGCATGCTCAGAATAAAAATAAAAATTCACAGTGTTATTTTAATATACCACCCCACAGAACAAAAGGTCATGCCCTTATACAGTGCTACTTTTTGGATGGCCTTCTGTTGAGGGTCAATTTTTGACCAACTATTAATAACAATATTTTTAAAATTTCAGTAATTAATTAATTTTTTGATGCCACTTTTCAATGAATAAGTGCGCTCTTTTTGAAAAATACACTATTTATAAGAACATAGAGAGAAATTTCGCGAAAAGCCCTGGAAAA